CTGCTGTAAAACACCAGCCTTAGTACCAAATTCACTTTGCAACTTGTGCTTTGTGCAATTTCCAGCAAAGTTGACAACCTAAGTTTGATTGCCCACTGAACTGCAGAGTTTCAGGATACATTGCTGCAAGCAGGTTGGAAAAAGTTATCTAGGGTAGGGAAGTACAGGGACTCAATTCTTCTGGTAAGTTGGTCAGCCTTAACTTCTTGTTTTTTATTGGCAATGTTTTTTTTTCCTCTTTTGTAAAGGGAGTGTAAAGAACTGCCAGTACTCAGAACTGCCAGAAGCTCAATTACTTTATTTACAGGTTCAGTACAAAACCAATAGCATAGGTGATGCCACGCAGCATTCTGTCTAGCCCAGCACCTTCAACTATCACTGACATCTAAAAAATACCAGTGCTAGATTTAGTCACTGAAGATGTCACAGGTTTATTGATCCTATATAACCTGAAAAAAATGCTCAAGAACTCATCACATCAGGGAAAGTACAAGCCATTTTTCTGGCTTATATTCTTCACAATACTTCTAGATCAACTCTTTGTGGAATCAACCTGTATCATACAACAGCAGACCTTGTAAAAATAGCAGCTAAACATTTCCTTTACCAAGGTGCATAGGAACAGAAAATGGGCTTAATTTGGTGCTGCTAAATTTGCACAGCCACCTTCACTTGAAGGCTGTAAAGACTTGAGCTCAAATCCTACCATGCAATTCACAGACGAAATGTCACTGTGTTTTATTAACTCAAGTTTTCAGCAAAAAGACTATGTTTGGTCCCTATCCTGAGCTACTGCTTGCAGAAAGAAGTTAAGAAACCTCGTCTTTTAAAACTATTAAAAAAGAAGGGAAAGGTGGCTGGAACAATAAAATATCTTAATATTTAAATAGGAAACACAGCTTTACTGTATTTTAATGATTTCCTTAAAGCTGTAGTGCACATAAAGACTTCAAGAAGAATGCCAGGGCTTAAGTCTCTAACAGCTGTCTCTCTGGTAAATGATGTCAAAAGCTGATACGCTAAGAATTTTCTTAAATGCAATCACTGAAGTGACAGTTCTTCTACTAAATTCTAACTAAGCATGTGGATACTTTATGTAGATCTGAAACTAGCCTTTAAACTATGCAAGCCACATACTACTATGTAGCACCGCTGATATTCTCCTACCAGCTGTCAGCAGGGACAGATAACAAACACCCAATTGGTTAAACCATGCCAACCTGGTTGCTATCCCAGCTGAACTGTAAGACATCAGAACAAGCTATGAGCCCTCTTCAACAGAATTTCTTGACTGCAATAAATGCCCATGGATTTTTTTAAAAAAAGATCTCTTTCTATTTGGCTTAAAAAATACTACCATTAAGCTTTATATTTTGAGGGTGATAAGTGCATATCCCAGCATAAAAGGCACATACATGTGCCTGAAGTTTTGCATTTCCAATATCATAGAATGGCCTGGGTTAAAAAAGATTACAATGATCATCTAGTTTCAACCCCCTTGCTACGTGCAGGGTCGCCAACCACCAGACCAGGCTGCCCAGAGCCACATCCAGCCTGGCCTTGAATGCCTCCAGGAATGGGGCAGCCACAACCTCCTTGGGCAACCTGTTTCACTATCACACCACCTTCTGAGTGAAAAACTTCCTCATAATATCTAACCTAAACCTTCCATCTTAGTATAAAACCACTCCCCCCTGTCCAATCACCATCCATCTTTGTAAACAGCCATTCCCCCTTCTGCTTATATGCTCTCTTCAAGTACTGGAAGAGTCAACAGGTAAGCAAGGAATCAGAGGAAGAGGAAACACTGGGGAAGGCCACAGTGAGGTCTCCCCAGAGCCTTCTCTTTTCCAAGCTAAACAGACCCAGTTTCCTCAACCTCTCCTCTTAGGAGAGGTGCTCCAGCCCTCTGATCATCTCAGTGCTCTCCTCTGGGCTCACTCCAAGAGCTCCATGTCCTTCCTGTGCTGGGGGCCCCAGGCCTGGACACAGTGTTCCAGGCGAGGCCTCACAAGAGCTGAGCAGAGGGGGACAATCACCTCCCTCTCCCTGCTGGCCACCCCTTTTTTAATGCAGCCCAGAACACAGTTGGCCCCTGGCTGCAGGCACACACTGCTGGCTCATGTCCAGCTTCTTGTGCACCAGGAACCCCAAGTTCTTCTCTGCAGAGCTGTTCTCAAGAAGATCTTCCCTCAGTCTGTATAAATACCTGGGATTGCCCTGACCAAGTGCAGCACCTTGCACTTGGCCTTATTGAACCTCATTAGGTTCTCACAGCCCACTTCTCCAGCCTGTCCAGGTCCCTCTGGATGGCTTCCCTTCCCTCCCACATAAAAACTGCACTGCTCAGCTTGGTGTCATTCACAGACTTGCGGAGGGTGCACTTGATGCCATCGTCTATGTCGCTAATGAAGATATATCTGACACAGCATGATCGAATCACCTTATCAGGAGCCTATCAAATTACAGTTTTTCCTGAGTACAATTAATCCTCCAAACCAACAACTGAATGCCCCTGTAATGTTTTAAGCCAAATTTCGGTTCACATTTAATTCTTAAGAAAAACAAAAATACACAAAAGCACAAAGCCAGTAAAAAGTATCAAAAGCAGAATCATACTTACAGTGAAAGCAAATGGTAATGGAAGCTGGAGGAGAGGACTGGGTACAGGAAAATGAATCAACAGGTAAGCAAGGAATCAGGAAGAGGAAACAGCTGCTCACTAAGCAGGTTTATGAGAGTCATTTCAGGCTGATGGATAAGTTAGCTGAAAGAAAATAACTGCTGTGCCAAATAGTGAATGTAACTTCGGAGTACTGTCAGGCTCAATTCTTTATCCCATATCTGGATATTCACCAGATTCCTATTTGAAAGCAGTGAAACAAGAACAATAGTCCTCTTTTACTTTAATAGCATTTTGTCTAACAATTTGATTTTTCTCATCTTAGCACTTGAAACTCTTCATCTCTGCTGCCCAGGAATGCACAAAGGCAGCAGAAACACGGAATATTAGTGTGCAGAACCATAGGCATACGGTACAGGAGTATGCAGGAGCCATTGAATTTTATCATCTCTTCTGAACATATCCTTTATTTTCAGCATTCTATGTGTTATTCCAGTAACTAACTATATTTTTATTGAGTATTCAAGATGTATGCAAAATGAAACACAGCTGGCTGTCAATTTCCAAGTTTGAATCTGTAAGTTTGCACTTCTATTCATACATAAGACAAAACGCTAATAAACACAAAGCAGCACAACAACACTAAATATGGTCACATGCAAATAGTTTATCCACTTGCAGTTTCTTCAAAGATTGTGCCAAAACAGTGCCACCTTCTGTTAAGTATCATTTTTTCAGTACATATTATGCACAGTAATGGGTAACATAATTTTATATAATCACTGAAAGAGTAAAGACCTCCCAAACCTACAATTTTATGAAATGGATTTAAATATCATTAATACACTATTCCTACAGCCAGAAGCCATGACTATACAGGAAATGAATTGACTCCTAATTCCAGATGACCTACAACTTAAAAGGTTGTGCAATTTGTCTTTCTTGCCAGTCCACTATTAAGCAATTTCTGCTAAAAATTTGTCACTTTGCATAAGGCCATATTATGTTTTATTGTTTTCTTTTTATAGATACAACTACCTCCTGTTCTCACCCTGGCCTACCCCTCTCTTAAGCTCTTTAACAAAAAAAGGCAAGGTGCAAATGAACGGAAAACCAGAAGCATAACACACTTCTTTGGGAAGTGAATGACACAAAAGGCTTAGAACCACATCTGCTCCAGACCATGATATTTGTTTTGTACTAGAGCAGATACAGACCACAACAAAACAGCAAGAATTGCAAGCATTTCCTTCTGCCTCAGATCACTTGCTTCCTAACTTCTAGCTGTGTTGGCAGGAAATATCAGTGAAACAGAAATAGAGTTACTGAATGTAACATGATGGAAAGCGCAACAATGACAGCAGAGCAGAAAGGTACCAGGCTATGGTCATCAAGGATTCACTCAAATGTAACACTAATGGGCACAGAAAAGAGGGAAAGAAGCTGCTTACCTTCAGAAAGCTTCAGGTATGCAGGGATCTCCAGAGAAATACCCTTGCCTCCACTGCCAACCCTTAAATGAGGTCTATGAAAGAGTGAATCCTGCATTGCATAGATATGAGCTCGCCTGGGTTGGTCCTGGCTTCCTCCCAGGTGCTCAGTCACTGTTTCAAGCCATGACTTAACATTTCTGCTACACGGACAAACTATTTATTGCTGGCTACCCTGCTCATGGCAGCTGGAGGCAACGGTTTTAAAATTTGCCTGTTGTCTCAACCAGTGAGAAGAAGACTGGATTCAAGCACTGTTTTTTTGTTTTATACAGTCACAGCTAATGTCAGATAACACACGAGTCACAAATATTTTTAGTGCTTAATAAAAATAAAGTAATTTGGACCTGAAAGTGAATCCTTCTTCCATGGTATTACGTGCTTTGATCCTAGCATGACGGCTGGTACTGATTTATCAGAAGATTCTGTGTACTTATCACTGTAGTTAGGCTCCAATTAAAATGGAAGTGAACAAAATGGTACGATAAATTCAGTGAGAAGCCAATGAGTTTCCCTAAAAAAATAACGGAGGAAGTGATAATGACTTAGTAAAACTCACCATAAACTCAGCCTCAGGAAATCAGAACCACTGCAACAAAGAAATAAGTCTCTTTTTTTTGGAAAACACCTCAACATAGTTACAAGATTAAAAAACAAAATCATAAACCCTGTGATCTAAAACAATATCCTTCAGTTGTCTTGTTTCACTGTCATTCATGAACTCAAACCCTGCCAATCCTGCTCCATTCAAAGGTGTGAGAGAGAAAACAAACACCACACACTCTTGCCTTTCTGTAACACCTGAATAATTTATTCAGACAAGCCTTAAGAACTTTCTTAAACACTACAGTATTTTAGCGTAAAGTTAATAACTTAAGAATTCAAGCTTTTTGATGTGAAGCATAAATTTAATGATAAGTTTTACAACATGGTTTTCAGTTATTTCAAAGCAGTATGTAATGTCACGTTATCAGAATTAAGAGCTGCAATTCACTTGCGTTTAGTTTGTCAAAATTCTAGACTGCTAGGAAACAATCTGTATCTGATACTGCTCTCTGAAGTTCAGCAGTACATATATTTACACACTTTCTTTTTCAAGGAAATCATGTATCTCAAGTTTCTGTGGATACAGTACCATCTTCCTCAAAAGAAGTCCATGGTGATATCATAACAAACAAAACTGGTTTCAGTCCACATTTTCTTGGCATTAAATTAATATTTGGAAAACAATAAGACAGGCACACACTACTGTTTTTCAGAGTTTCCATTACCAGCTTTTAACATACTGTGAAGAAGGGCACACTCTTCTCAGGATTCATGCTTTTTTGTTGGTTTATCAAAGTAAGGAATATTGTCTTGTAGCAGATCCTTCCTGGGTAAGAGCACTGCAAAAGAAAAAAAAACCAAACTATTAAGAATGTCATCTTATTGCAAATACTACTTAAAATGATAAAATTGTTTTTACATTTAAAAACAAAAAATCAGGTCAGTCAAACAAGAATCTAAGCTTATGGTAAGCAAACAAGCAGCATCATGTTACCAACTCAGTACAACATTATAATGATTTTATGACTTTACCTTCTGTTGGAAGAACATTTTTGATCTTTTTGCTTTTAAGAAAAAATATTTGAAAATATTTTAATAGTATTAGTGATTCATTAAAAAAATGGCAAAGAATTGCAATAACATTTAGCACGAGAGAGAACAGTAAGTTGAGTCAGTCAGTAAGTCCAAAGCCAGATTGTTTACTTCAACAGTTCCCAAAATTAATGTTAAATTTGGTATAGCCTTCTATTCCAGCCTCCTGAAATCTGTAAAATATTCATCTTCTTACATGCTTTAAATGCCAACAAAAAAGAAAGCATCAATTGGAAATTCTGACTGCTATATCCTCATAGAACTCCATAAAGCTGGGGTTTGCCTAATTATGTATCACTTTAACCCATTCCTTACTAAACTCTTGCATCTAGCTCCTCAGAAATCAACCTGTCCCTTACCATGAAGGGGAAGAGCTGTGTCATGTCAGATTTGCTCAAGCAGTACAAAATAAAGCACAAACACTTGGACCAAGTCAGACACCTTCTAAAATAATATCAAACCTACAAATATGGGTGTGTATCTGTAAGTGCAAAAACATTTGGTCCAGAGTACACCGATATCCCACAAACCATGAGAAGGAAAAATGATTTCCTTGAGGTTATCTTACTTCTGCCTCTGTGGACTGGCAGCAATGCATGTAATAAGTTTCTAAAATCTTGAAACAAAATTTCAATTCCCTTTCTCTTATAGAGAAAAAATTGATAATTAAACTTATGACAAGTCACATTCATATACACACTTGGAACAGATACATGAAATAGAAATGCAAAAGACAGAATTAACAAAAATTTCAAAATATTGAAAAATACCAAGTGCAAACAGATAAAGATGAAAGAACTTTTAAACTTCTGTTCAAGAAGCTAAGTTTTGAACATATCTATACACACAGCAAATCAAAACAATCAAAACATACTGTGTGCATGGAGCACTATTAAAGTTTAAGTTTTACTTGCACTAGTTTAATTTGAAAGACAGGGAAATAAATAAAAGAAGAGATATTTGTCTGCTGCTCAGTAACCTAATCATACTGCATCTGAATCTGCAAAAAAAAAAAAAAAAAAAAAAAAAAAAAGAAAAAAAGAAAAAATATAAGAAAAATGTTTACTGTGGCTAACAAACTCCAAAATGAAAATGTTTTCTCATTAGTAAGAAAAGCTCAGTCTTTCTTTTCTAAACTAATTTACTGGTAAATCTAAACATAACTATACACAGCATTCCCAAATTCTCTTTATAAAGAATAATATGGCCCTGTGCACTTGTTCTGGAATTAAGACAACACAGAATAATTTCATTTGATTAGGAAAAAAGGTCTCCATACCAATATTTCTTCTCTTTGTCTAAGGCTGAGAGGCAGGACTGCAGAGAAGTAACAACAGCAGATGAAACTAAATCATATATTGTCAGCTAAAATAGAAAAAAATGTACTAAAGATTCTGACAGTAACTCACTTAAGGACAATACTGCAGCAATAAGCTTCTGTAACATATTTTGCTTAGCTTCTTCTTTTAATTTTTTTTTTTTTAATTGCTTTAATTACTATGATTATCTAAATGATTTAAATGAATCCAAGGTAAGTTTGTAAAAATAAATACATGTATGCACACAGCAGCCAAAAACTCCTGGTTTGCCCATAGTCTGATGACTCCACTTAGCCCTGATGCCTTCATCTGAAAAAAACATAGTAGAACTGAGAACTGAGAACAGCACAGAATAAAGCAACAGAATGATCACAGACATTCAGCTGCTGTTTCAGAGATAAGCTTTACCATAGATGAAGAAAGCAAGACAGAGGCAACTAAGGTCTTAAAAACTCAAGAGCAGCTTGGCAAAAATGGATAGCAATTGATAAGCAAGACCACAGCAAATTATTCTTTTATAAAACATATTAAATTCTCTGTCAAAAGCACCTGAATCCACCTGAGTGGATGACAGGAGGAAACACGAGAGAAATTCATTGAGGATAACTAAAACAGAAACAGCTCCTGGCTCAGGAAGTGCTGCCAAGTTAAACAGATGGAAGACAGCAAAACACATTTCCTCTGTTCCTACTCTTCTATTGTCATCTGCCTAGATTTCTATACAACAGAAATTTACAGCCAGTACAGTCTAGACAAATCTCTGGCCTCAATCATTATGGCTGTCCCAATGTTAAATGCTTTACCAAACCCAAAACTTGGAAGTATATACGAAGATTTACACTAAGACTCTAAGCAGAAGTGAAAGGAAATGATGTATGCAGCTGAAGATTTCTTCTATATCCTACCATGAGGCTGCAAGATGAACTAATTATTTCTCTTCCTACAAGGAAATTTCCAAGCCAGGAGCCAAGATTTCAGGATCTGATAGGCTCTGCATGAAGGCTGTAATCATGTGGCAAATATTCCAAGGCACCACCTGAAACTTTAACAGTCAGAACAAGGATAGAAAACAGCATTTCAAAGAAAATGCTGTTGGAAGACATCATAGAGATTGCATTTGTTAATTCTTCTCAGGCAACTTCTACCTTTATGTTATAGCAAGAGCCTGCAGATATTGTAGCTAATTCATTCATACATACACAGACCGGTTAACCAGTACATGCAAGCTAATGGTTAGGATACCAAGTATAACTTCCTTTTTACAATGAGGTCATTAAAGGTAGTTCGAGCTTCTCTTCTGATAGCTCCCATAAAAAAAAAAAAAAAAATTAAAAAAAAATTAAAAACATCCTTAAGCATGCAGCTCTACTCACATATTTTGTTGGAGTCTGTGTGAACTGCCTGAATAACAGAAGTTCTGAGAATCATTTCAACATCTGAAGCTATTTTCAGGAGCTAATAAAGAGAAATAAACAAACAGTAGTTTAAGTAGCATGTAATTTTTTTTCTGAAGGTATTTTCCACATGAGAGAGCTATTCAATTACCAAAGTCAGTCAGGTCTATTATTCAGTAAGCTATTTACTGTCTCTGCATAGCTTTCACTTTGGAGGTCACAGCTGATAAAATAGCTACAGCATGATTAAACCTTTTGCTGAATAGAATACAGCAGTATAAAATCTATACATCTGATTAAAACAGCAAAGGAAAACGGTAGAATGCAATTACCAAAACAAGTAAGTACATTTATCACAGAGTGGCTTTGTTTGGAGGAGTCCTTAAAGATCACCTAGTTCAAACCCTTCTATGAGGGGAAGGGTTGCTAACCACTAGATCAGGCTGCCTAGGACCTTATCCTACATAGCCTTGAGTGCCTCCAGAAATGGGGCATTCACAATTTCTCTGGGCAAACTGTTGCAGTCTCTCACCACACTCTGAGTAAAATAATTCTTCCTGAAATCTAACCTGAAACTGCCCTCTTTTAGTTTAAATACATTTCACCTTGTCCTATCCATCCAGACCATGTAAAAAATCAGTTCCTGCTTGTTAGTTCACTTCAAGTACTGAAGGTACTTGAGGGCAGAACAGAAGAGGATAATAACCTCCCTCACCCTGCTGGCTACTTCTTTTCTGATGCAGCCCAGAAGTTGGCCTTCCAGGTACACACTGCTGGCTCACGTTCGGCTTTTTGTTCATCAGGACTCCCAAGTCCTTCTCTGCAGGGCTGCTCTTAGTGAATGCCAATACCTTGCACATGGCCTTGTTAAACCTCATTAGATTATTGAGTACCCACTTTTGGAGCACGTGCAGGTCCCTGTGGATGGTGCCCCTCCCTTCTACTGTGTCAACTGCACCACTCAGCTTAGTGTCATCAGCAAACTTACTGAGAGTGCAGTCAATCCCACTGTCTATGTCATTGATAAAGATGCTGAAGAGCACTGGTCCAAAGACAGATCCTCGGAGGACACCACTTGTGACTGGCTTTCACCTTGTCACACAGCCACTGACAACAACCCTCTGGCTACAACCATCCAACCAGTTATTTATCCACCTAAAAGACAGCCTTCAAATCCACACCTCTCCAATTCAGAGATAAGGATGTGGTATGGGACCACATTAAAGGCCTTGCACAAGTCCAGGTAGACAGCATCAGTTGCCCTTCTTTTGTCTACCAATGCTGTCATTTCATAGAAGGCCACCAGACTGGTCAGGCATGATACACCCTTAGTGAAGCCACGCTGGCTGGCAGATCTCAGAGGATCTGCTCCATGATCTTCCCAGGTGCTGACATGAAGTTACTGGCCTGCAGCTCCCTGGGTCTTCCTTTCTCCCTTCCTTGAAAATGGGAGTAACAGTTCCCTTTTTCCATTCACCAGAGACTTCACATGATGGCCTCACAGACCATTTCAGTAATAACCTACATCAGTGAATGTCTCAATAACGTAGTCTGACTTACACCTATTAAAAGGGCAAGCTATCTCCTTTGACATTCCTGATTTTGAAATGAAGTGGCAAAAAAGGGGCACGATGTGACAAGAATACTGAGGTTTATTAAAAGTGGTAGAGGAACAGATACTAGCTAAAGATTAGCACAGTATAATTGGTAAAAGACCTACAATTCCCTTCCTCACTAAGAAGATGAGTAACCCTTGCATATTTTGCTAAGCGATAATCAGAAGCCTCATACTTGTTTGCATGATAGCATTGTCAAAAGTAAGTTAATTTGCACAAATGAGACACCCTGGGAACATGCCTACACTAGGAAGCAGTGTATATCAACAGGAGAGGCTTTCTGCAATGTAAGAGTTGGAGCAGAGGATTTAGGCATCTACACAAAATTTCTCTGCACTCTTCTCCTTTCAAAGGGGAAACATCCAGAACACCCTGTTCAGTGTGTTAATATACACCAGGAGCTAGACTGCATACACCCCTTCCAATTCAGCTTCACATTAAAGGGACTGTCATCTGCTTTGAGGCTGCTTCACAAAACAAGCAAAACCAAATTAAGCTGCAACAACCAAGATGAGATGCACTCCTGACCTGAACCATTTTAGTAGATTCAGGTGTTATATATCTCTCACTTCCTAATACTGCATTTACTTCTGTAGGCATATATATACCAAATTCTGTAGGAATATATATACCAAATGCCTATTCTGTAGGCACTATATACCAAAATGACGCCATGCCATGTTAGAAGACTTTGCAGCTTTCAACTCTGGCAAACTAATGAGCATCTGGTTGGTCAGTATTTGCTTTTGTTAGCTGCTGTACAGAAGCAGAACACTAATTCCCCAGGTGTTTATGAAAGTACGTATCTAGATTTTTAGAAATCATTTGATTCAATTCCTCTGCCTTTGAGTCACCCCACTACATAAATAATGCCAAGCTTCCATGGTGTTTCCATGCAGTTTTGATGAAATTCTACCACTTCTTCCACAGACCTCTAATCAGTACCTTAACATGTATTCCAAATGTGACATGTATTTTGTAGGTTGCCATTCATAATACATATAAATTATATACATACATACATATAAATATAAAACTACTGCAAGTATGTCTTCCATACACCTATCACAGAAGAAAAGAACATAATATTTAATTGATCACATATGTGGAATGTAAACACAGAAGTATCACTACCAGGGCCTGACAACAAGTGGAAAAGCTACAAAGTGAAGACTAAGTGCTATGAACTATTTATGATATAACTGAGTGACTGACGTGACGCAGAAGTTTAGATTTATTTCTCTCAATGACAGGTGGAGGCAACCTCTTTCAAAACATCAGTGTTACTAGAAATCACAAACAGTCCCTTATGAGGCTAAAAGTCACTGACTAAATTACTTCCTCAATATGGATGCTAATAGTAGAAATAGTTCATACAGAAGCCTTATTTCTGGCCATCAGTATGTCTTTCAGGAAAATGTGTTAAAGTAACAAGTAAAGGTACCTTACAAAGTGAACTAACAGAATACTTTATTATTTTTAATGTACCATGAGGAAAGAAGCAAAAAACTCCAATAGGTATAAATAATACAATAGTTACAATAGTCATGACTATTAGTTTCTTTCCCATGTCTTACAAAATAAGCCATCTCATTAGTGCTCAAGGATTAAAAAAAAAATTCTCGTTTCTGCCAATTACTGAGCAGATTATTTAAAACTTTCACACCTTTGTTATACAACGAACTAAACAGGTAAATTCAAGTGAACAAAACTCAAATATAAATTATGAGCAGAACAGGAAAAAAAAATTCCATGAAAAATAGAGCAGTTTTTTCCCCTAAAGAATATACACTCCAAAATTATCACAATGAACTACTAGAAAAAGCCTACTTTTTAAATATCTTTCTTATGTGCAAAATTCTATGACAGACTACTAAGATCAATATATTTATAAACACAGGCATGGGAAAGCCTTTCTAGAACCAACTCTTGTAATGATTCAGTAAGTATCTGTGGTAGTTTAGGGATTTTTTAAGTAAAAGATGCTCTTTTTACTCCAAGAGAAAACAAACAAAACCCAACCCTAAGTATAATGAAAACAAGAAATACCTCATTTATTTTCTCTTCAGATGTTTCACTTTGGTTATTTCTGAATTCTTCGTTTATCTTTTGTCTTGCAGCTAAATAAAGTAAGCAAAGTAAATAAAATGTGAACAAAACAATAATATCTTGTCTTTGTGACTGAACAAAGCTCGTGACAAATAAGGCTGTGATATCTACCTCAGGTCTGCTTCTTAACTTGGCTAAACGATGCTCCATCTACCTATCTACCCTTTTCCCCTAATGAAAATATATATATCAACACCTTCTTGGCACACTCATTCTGAAAAACACAAGACTTATGTAGAATTCAGCTGATGTTATATTTTGAGTTTACTGATACAGAAGGAAGATGCAATGCCAGATCTGCTCATCTAGCCTTCTCCAAGCAGACCTCACTGTGATCTTCCAATACTTGGAAGCAGGAGGGGGACCAACATTTTACACAGGTAGATAGCAATGATCTTGGGAGGAATGGATTTAAATTGAAAGAGGGGAGATTTAGGTTAGATGTTAGCAAGAAATACTTCTGAGAGTAAGGAGGCACTGGAACTCTCTGTCCAGAGAAGCAGTGGATGCCTCCTCCCTGGAGGTGTTCAAAGTCAGGCTTGATAGGTCCCATGGAGCCCAATCAAGCAGCTGGCAACCCTACCAACAGCAGTGGGGAACTAGATGATCTTCAAGATCCTTTCTAAACCAAGCCATTCTATGACTGATTCTGTGAATCCAGCTAGCTATTTCTTGTGAAAAAAATGGATGAGACAGCATGATTTCTACTGAAATTACGTTGATCCCATCTCCTTACCTTGCATTTATGCTCTTGCATCACATACTCTCTCACTTTTATGGGAGCATTAGCATTGTTAAGTACAAACTGGAGCTGCAGAATTGACACCACCTTCTCTGGAAAAGGTAGTATTTTTAGCTCTCTTCACCACTTTCATATCCTTAAAAAAAAACAACACTCGTATAGCTTCCTCACCATAACATTAAAAAGTAACTCTAATGGACTCAGCAATGACACCAATGAGAATCAATCTTATTTTCGCGTGTAACATGTATTCATCACACAAAAGCCCATCTTACCTTCAAGGGCTCTTGTATCATTCTTAAAAACTTCTTGTCGAGTTCTGTGTAACAATTTAAAAAGCCTCAAAGCCTGTAAATACAAGATGAATAGAATTAGTTGCAAGGAAGATCCTTAGTTAAAACAACTATGCTGTGATTAGAAGTGTTTTGGTTAATCTTTCACAGCACTTTCACTTAGTACACTTCGTATGAAATCAATATCTGAGATACTTTACCTCAATTCCTGATCAGATAGCTTGCAGCCAGAACAGATTTAAGAAAAAAATCCTGGACAGTTCTAGGTATTTCAGATCAACCTGAAATACTGCAGAACCAGCAGTATACTTCTAAATAATCATTCAACGTAATGGGGATATAGTCCTGAAAATACTTTCATGCAAGCACATCCATTTTGCCAATATAAATCAGAAACAACAAAACCAGAATAAGTGTGCAAATATGTCACTGAAGGGACTAGCACAATCATTTTACTGGATATTCTGCAATTAAAAAAAAAAAAAAAAAAAAGCAAAGAAATCTAACTGGCCAAAGTATTCTTACTTTGCCATTGTAAGAAACATGAAAAGTGAATTTCAAATGAATTTCAAAATCATACAGTCACTAGTTAGAACACATTTTTAATCTCCCTCTGTAACACCTAGATAACATCTTCCTCAGGTGACACGGAAAATCCAGAACAAAACAAAGTCTTTTCAATGTAACAGTGACAGACTTGCCTGCGGATATACAGCAAAAATACTGAGAATCACAGCTTACAGTCATAAAGTTTTGACTGCTTATCCACATAGAATATATGAATTAATGCAATCTTCAGGAAATCCTGACTCCATGTCCAGAAAGACTGTTAAGGGGACATCTTCTGAAGTTATTTCTAGTATTTTCTAGTATGTTTAGGCATTTCAGGAAGGCACAGTTCTCAGTACTTCACGATAAACTTGAATTGTGTTCTCACAATTACTATGCAACAAATTTCTCAGAAGGAAACAGAGGAAACACACGCTTGTAAATGAGAAATATCTATGTTTTTCACTAGCACTCTTTTTTTATCAGTAAGCAGGCCTATGCCTTAGATGTGAAAGACCAATCATGGGAGAGTGGCCAGTAAATACATCCTGTCAGGGCCCTGGAAAAAATGTTGCTTTCAGTCACTCAATTGCAGAGAAAGCAGCAGCAGGCTTCTATGGATGCTACTACTTTCACCAGGCATCAAGCCATTTTCCTGATTCCCCTCCTGTGCTGCTCACTTGGCTCAACATAATCCATCCTGAGATATAAATACACAAAAGACAGATGACAAGAGAGAAAAGCTGTAAGCAGTAAGAGCCTTATACCAGTTTACCACTACTTCTGTGGTAATATAACATTACAACAACTTCAGTCTATTAAGGGACAATTTACAAGCACCAACAAATTCCAATCTCACTTCATCTCAGCGAGTAGATATTATAATTCAGTATCAAGCATCCTGCTGTTGTGGATAAACTGCAAAATAGATCTTTGTGCCATAAGGCAGACCAGTACACTCTCTACCACTTAAAAGTCAGCGGCATTCTTATGCAAAAACCTTTTCTTCTACAAGACTTGGGATAGGAGTTGACAGTGAGTTAAACCACATGTGCAGACATATGGAAGAGGTGGACTCTGCTGACTCCCACTCGCTTTCCATGTCCTCAATAATTCATAGCCAGCAAATATCTGTTCTGTTCATGAACGATTCCCCAGGTGGATAAAACTGTGGAGAACAGACTGATAAAGGACACTAGCAGCCAGCAACTGTGTTTCTTGTCCTGTAAGTCTATTTTAGTAGATCTGACCACGCCATCTGAATAGCATATTTTAAAATATATCTATTCTATGTTTTCACCATCCTTGCAAATCAGCATTACTAACAGCTTTGAGTCAAAGACATAGGCCTTACAAAATCAGAGGAAGGATATGATTATTTTGAACTCTCTGATCGACATTTTTTATGTAACTTCCAGGGAAATATAAGCAAAAATCTTGTAAGTTCGTTATGCGTGCCGCTTCTATTTACACTTCCATAACCGATGAACAGAGCCGCGGAAGCTGGCACTGAACACAGCACGACAGACAGACCCCGCCCCGCCAGCGGCAACAGTCCGCTCTCCTCGACGTCCGTTCCCCGGAAGCTCAGGCGGGTACGGGCCGAACGGGGAAGGGACGGCGACGACCCCGACCGGACGACCCCGCGCGGGCCGCCTCCGTCCTTTCCCCGTTTGGCCCAGGCTCCAGTTGACTCAATGCAGCCCCCGAGGACCAGAAGAACCCGATCCGTGGGGCTGAATCCAGCCAGCCCCTCACCCAGCGGGACCAGCTAACCCCAACAACGGAAGCCCCCTCCCCGCCACGCATGCGCACTGCGCTCACCCTCCCGCGGCTCGCCATGGCGACCGATGTGCGGAAGCGGAATGCACTCTCGGAGTTTCCGGCCCCGCCCAGGCACGGCGCAGCCGGGTGCAGCCTACAACGCTGCCCGGCCGAGCCCAACGACCCACCTCTCTGGTGCCGAGCAGTGTTCGCTCCACTGCGGCTGAGCACCGCGACCCAACGGAGGCCGCGCCCCCAGGGCCCATTGTAGTCATTCGCGACGCGCTGTGCGGCCCGGCTTCACAGTGCGACCCCGCGCGGCCCCACCACGGCCATCACTGGGCTGTCTTACGCTGCAAAGCCTTTCTAAGAAAAAAAGGGGGCATAAGGATTTCAAATGCAATCAGCTTTATTGCTTTTTTTTTTTTTTTTCTTTACTCTTGCTTCAATACATTTAATTGTAGTTATATTCAAAGATAGTTGGTGTGTGTGAAAATAAAAATATTACTAAGTATTTTTAAAGTCAGATTTCCAAAATGGACTATAATGGACTATATTATGCGAGATTATGTATCTTATAACAAAAATTGACCCCTTAGCAGAAGAAACTGTCTTTATCATTTGCAGGATTGCTTATGATAGCTGTAAATGAAATGAACACGAAGCTCTGAAAACATTTTACTATTTTCAAAACAATATATAATATACCCAGCGAGACAAAAAATGTTACTGAAATCAGCTACTTGAAAAAAAGTTTCTGCCCAATCACATTTAGCTCTCTCCTTGCCAATTCGTCATCTGAGAGGCAAAAAAGAAGAAAACTCTCTAACTCCAATTGGTGTTACAGAAACAGTTTGGCTTTACTCCTCACAATGTGCAACAGCTGACTTGACAAGCAAGGGCATCCTCTCATTTGAACAGTTAATACGTACATACTCAGTACACCGGCAGACATATTCATTCTTTTTCAAGCGCTAGTAGATATGTGCTAATGTCCCTTTGGGCGTGCATTCAGGGTGGTTGAGTGCCCACCTGATTCTTCCCCTTTTTCACCATCAGTTTCACTGAAGCCTTTGACCCACTTTTATGCACTTTTCCCCATTCTGGAAGATTTTCACTGCTTATTAGGCCACACTCAGCCACTTCTAAAGACAAGAACCTGACGAGAATGTTCTTACATGTTTTGAGGCAAAAGATAAAAGTATTCTATGGTGACTCCAGTACTTCTCGTGAGGCAAAACCATTGAGGCAGAAGATACAAGTATTCTATTGTGTCACCAGTGCAATATTATAGAGAGAAAACAAAACTCTTCACCCACTAAAGCCAAAATGGAGAGTTTCAGAATTACGACTTAGAGATTCCTTTTGTTAAAGTAATGTATTGTTTCTTAAACTAATGTACTAGTCCCCATTGCTAAACAAGCCAACCTGTACCAAATTACTGTATTTCTGTATTTATCACTAAGGCTTTTTTTAAACATATATATTCCAGTTAAGAACTCCACGGCCAACGGAATGACTTCATCTATCTTTTCCTTTACAAACAGACAAACAGAGAAACCAAATACATTTGCCCATGAAGCACCGATTCCTTCCTCGTTTTAGCCTTGTACTACAGTAGAATCCTTTGAGCACATACACACCAAAATAAATTAATGCAGGACCACAACGAGGCACGGAATATCATCCCAGCATTCAGAGCTTTGTGTAGCGTCTAAAGATGCAGAATTTCTGTGTTATTACCAGAGGTGTATAACAAATCTGGCACTTCATGCTCTGTGCCACCAGCTGCACATCCTCATTTAGTAACCTCCACGAACACATGGCTGCCCGCAAACTTAACAGCAGGCCCTGTTTCTCTTTCAGCTTTCCATCAACAAACCTCTGGACTTAGCCGTGAACCGAAAACGGCGTGAGGACCGCGGGATTAACAGGCGCCGGATGCCTGAAACCGCAACGAGCGACTGCAACCAACACAAACGGCCGCAACACGCCCCTCATTCACTTCACCCCGTCCTCGCTGGATCCCTCCGCGCCACATGGCGCTTACACGTTCTGAGCTCCAGAACGCGGGGCCGGTGAGGCGGGCCCTAGCAAAAAAAGGCAGGCATCTCAACCAATGGCGAAGAGGGAAACGGGGGACGGTGCTCTGCTGGGCCAATGAGCTCCGTGAGGGGCGGGGCTGCGGCGGCGAGAAAGCGCGGCGGCGGCGGCGTGCGCGGTGTCTTGCGGTACGTCAGCATGGCTGACGAGATCCGTAAGGCGCAGGCCGCGCGCCCTGGTGGGGACACCATCTTCGGGAAGATTATCCGCAAGGAGATTCCCGCCAACATAATCTACGAGGACGAGCAGGTGCGGGCAAGGCGCCCCTTGCTGCAGCTTGCGGCTGTAGCCGCTCCCGGCCTTGGGGCGGGCGAGACGTCGGCTGGCTCCGCTGTGCGCCCGGCCTCGCGGTGTCGGTGGCCCGTGTGTCGCACTGGAGCTTCCCGGCGCCGCGGCCTTGGTGCCCGCGGGCGGGGTTCCCGTGATCGGTGTGCGCGGGTCCAGCAGCGCCGTCTCGCTGCGCCGTGGAGTGTGTGGGGCTCTGCCCCCCGGGCCCTGCGACGGATCTCTGGGCTGCGCCATTAAAGTAGGAAATGAGGGAGCGTTCTAGCTTCTGGTTCTGTTGGTAGAAGTCTGGAAATAGCCTTTCTGTGACTGGGGAAGTGCGGTCAGAGACTTGACTGCTGGTTCATCGCGGTGTACGGGAACTCAGTAAGCTGGTTCGGATGTGAAAGCAGGTGTTAACTGCGAGGTGTTGGCTTTAAGTTAGCATTTACCCTAACGTCAGTTTTTTTGTCTTTAGTACGATACGCTAGGTGGGTGTCTCTTGAAATAACGATGTACCTGCGGCTACATCTCCATGCCTTATTTGTGAGCTTAACAATCATGGGCAGCCTGAAACAATGTTTTAACAAATCGTAGTAATGTTGCAGCTGCTGTATACTTTCAAGAGAAGTTGCCCTGGCTTCAGGTTGTCAGATACTGTGCCTTTGTGTTGGGATGTGTTTGCGTCCTTTCTATACCAAGGGAAATCTGCGTGAGATTCTCCCTCAGCTGTCCTGCCAGGAGCCTTACGATTGCTTGATTGAGAAGGGTGCTGCTGGCAGCCTGATCAATCTTGTCAGTAGATAAGCGGCTCTGACAGCCACCAATACTGAGTGCTCAATACTGAATACTCTTCAGTACCAATACTGAAGAGTGATTAACTGCAGTCTTGTTTGATTTTTACCTGAAACTGTGCATTCAGAGTTTAGTTGCTTTTTACAGAGAATAATCTTTAATTTACTTTATTAAGTGTACTGAGGATATGTTTAGAGATTAAAGTGAGGTAATACTGATACAGGGAAGACTTTGCATTGTAAATAGACATGTAGAGAAAAATAATAAAAAGTACAAAGTCTCTGTAGAGTTAAAGCTTGTCACTGTTCTTTTAGTTGTGTCAGAATAAAAATGGCACTTGTGAAGGTGACAGTTGATTTCCTGTGTGCCCTCAGTTTTTCTTTTCTGATTGTTGACTACTACTTGTGCTACCTATTCTACAGAAAATTAGTTGTTGCTGGGTTTTGGTTCATTAACGTACTTGAATTAGTTTATGCATATGCACTCCACCACAGAGCACAGAAAAACTGCTTTGAAAAAATGAGTACAGTGTAAAATTTATGTAATTATGTGCAAATTAGTTCTAATCATTGATTAATCTTTGTTTGCCTCTCTAGTAGAGAGAAACAAACAGTTCAACAGAAATCTAAAACTGGCCTTCTTTGCAAAGGTAGTTTAAGATAAGATGGATTTGAGAATAAAGTAATATGTTATAAAGCTTAACAATGGCTTCAGTTGCTGCAGGAGAACTAGAAATGCTGTAGATCTGGAATTGCATAGGAATTTCCTTATTGGTTAACAAATAAATGAAACCTCTAGGAAAGATGTGTTTTGAGGAATGTTACTGCTGTAAGTTTTGCTGTGAAGTGGATGAGTAAGTCAGAGATGACCTCTAGCTACCAGTAGCTAAGTGTGAACATGGTCTGGGCTTCTGAAGACTGTGATGGCTGCAGTACCAAAATCTGATTTTGTCATCAGTTATTTGCACAAACAGGCATAGAAGTCCTTTCCCTTCTCTTTCTCCACCTACTGGACTTTCCTGATTTAAAGGAAACATCTGTCTCCTTACCCTTGTTCTCTTGCATCCTACTTCTGGAGGTAAATGTCTATGCTCAGGCTTATTTGATATTTCTAAGGAGGTACTGCGTGGTTTCAGAACAAATTTTGGTACTTGTGTAAAAGAAGGTAGGAGTAAATTACTTATCATGCATTGCTGTTTGTATTTCTAAGGTGATTCTTTTTCTCAGTCTGGAAATATGTGAAATAGCAGCCTTAATACACTATTTTGAAATTGTCTTTCTCTGAAATACTTGATGTTACTGAAAACAGGAAATGTAATATGGCTTCAACTGCATAGCTGCCTTGCTGTCATGGTATTGTAGGATTTGCAGGGGACCTCTGAAGACTGTCTAGTTCAATTCCCTCACTAAAGCAGGTTCCCTGTTTCTGACCAAAGCAATACTTAGATGTTTTTGCAGTATGGTTGGCAACTGTTTGCTCTTTTCTTAATGAACTGAGCAATAAGAGGAAAAATGAGAATAAATGTACTTTCTATAGATATGTGTGTCATCAGCTCTCTTAGTTGTTATACATATTTGAGAAGAAAAAATTGTTGTCACTTGCTGACTACAGCTCCTGAATAATGCTTTTAAAAAATGATCATTCTCTGTTCACACCATTAAGTTTTGTTA